TGCTTTATGGTAGTCAGTTGTTAAATATACACCACTCCACTTCAACAGTGTTTGCTACATACATTTCTTTAGTCATCTATTTGAGATGAAGTAAAACTCCAGTGTCATCCCCTGCTGCCAGCACTGCATCGAAACGCTGCTTCTCAGACAACCTATTGTAACACTGATGTATTGATCTCGTAACATTTGTGGAATACTAATATCTCTGCCTTTACTCCGCTTAGGATCGGAAAATATTGCCCTGTCCGCCAGTATTTCTCTCCGCCATGTTGGTTGGACATGTTGGGTGATATGATTTCCCCACAGAACAGAACAGCAGAACAGAGCAGCTTTAGAGGACAAGGAAAGCTATTAGCATGCTGCTAGCTAAAAGCCCCTTGTGATGGGTTTGATATAAAGGTTTTACCTTAAGGGATTATTTCTCATTACCTTAGGTATTTTATGCAACTGGGCACAGGTGTTGAATTCTCCTGTAGACTGGCTGTAATTGACCAGTGAGATCCATCATGAGTCCTCTTAACATCACTCTCATAGGCTGTCATTGCACCAACACCAATATCCCATGCTCATGTTCATAGTCTGGGATAAAACGTGCCACTAAACTCCCAAAATATAACATAGATTCCACTCTTCTGTTGCATACTTATTTTACACAAGGACAATATATACACATATAGTCAATGTTAGCTCTCAAACTAATAATCTTAAATCAGAGGAACAATTCCATTTTAACCTCTAAAATGAGAAGGAACAAATAAACATACAGTCCCTTGGTATCTGACACATCCACAATGTAACACACTAGCGTCCTGTCAGAGAGCTAGGTCTACAGGACCAGTTGAGTCAGTAGACACTAGTGATTACACACACAGTGTTAACCTCAGGTAGAGCTGCCGAAGAGAAGCCTTAGCCATCTAAACAGGCCTAATATCCTCACATGGTTCTTCCTATGTAGCTTTGCCCACAAGGACTATAAGCTCTGTAAGCAACTTTACCAATGTAGCTTTTTTCCGCTAGGTCTATAAGCTCTGTAGCGACTTTACCAATGTAGCTTTGTCTACTAGGACTATAAGCTCTGTAGCGATGCTCCGAAAGTAGCTTTGTCTACAAGGACCACTTTCATGATTCTGCCATTGTAGCTTTGTCTGCTAGCTAGCCTATCACTAAGCTCTGAAGTGCTTCAGATTGATCTTAATTGGCAAGTCATTATTTTTCATAAAGGAGGAGAACTGGAGATAAACACACCATCCAGGGAACATTTGTGTTTGGCTAAACAAAAAAACAAAAAACACACAATGCCTCTCCAAAAACTCCCTGACATTTCATTGTATTTTCATTGGAGTGGAGAAGCTTCTAGTTCTCCTGTTAGTGTTTCTAGACCGTTACTACTAGCCTTGCTCTCTTCTACCATCACTACCGTCGTTCACTTCTGCTAGTCTTCATTAAAGTGCTCCATCTCTGGATCGTCCTTCATTATGCAAACGCACAGAGAAATTACAAACTGAAGCCACAATGCACAGAAGAATAACAGTGAAATTGGGTAGGCTGCCTGCCTTTTCTATAGCTGTAATGCCATAGATAAAACATAATTAAAATGAACGGATTGAGAACCGGATGTCCTTCTGGCTGGGGAAACAATGAAGAGAGAGGTTTGGCTGTGCCAGAATGGTTAATAAGTGCTATCAAATTAACAAAACTCAAAAAGGCCCAAATCTAAATATTTATTTAGTGTTGACAGCGTTCCACCTATACTAGCAGCGAAAACAAAAATAATCTGGCAGTATTCTATGAGACACATGGATCTGGCCTTCCATAGATATGTTGTCAGTCTACCTGTACTGTCTCAACATTATGGTCAAACATGAATAGAAAAGTGTTCAATGTCCTCGATCGCTGTAGCTCCTGCGTTTTCTTAATGAAAATGTCATTGTGGACGAAGGAAATCTCTCCAAATGTTTTGGCACAGTTTCATTTTCCATCTTGAGTGCAAATTGTTGGAGAGGGATGCCCCTGTACTGTACGTCGAAGGAGAGATAGAAATTTGGGGGTGGAGCAAAAGTCTTGGTTTTAGGGGCCAGTTTGATGTTCAGACAGTCTTATTTTAGTTGTAATACTATTCTTCATGGCATGACATAATATAATTATAGTATTTCAACTGTCCAAATCTGATGCCATCCATCCACAATTTCCCCCCAAAATGAATATATTATTCCACAGAACATATCCACCAATGATGACAGTCTGCTTGACGTGTAATATGTTTATTTCCTGTGTATTTCCATGCCTTGTTCAATCTTCACTGGCCATGGCTGACCCAAGACCAGATCAGGTTCTCAGGCTTCTCCTCTCCTGTTTGACCAGCACTCACAATGACTCTCCTCCATGGCTGTGTCCACCACTTCGGGGCTTAGTTATCCCCCTTAATGCCCAGGACCAGACCCAAGACCAGACCAAGTTTCAGGCCTCTCCTATCCCAGACAGACTGGTGTCTGCCGCCTGCCACCTATCCAGGCCCCACAATTCTCCAGTCCTCCACACACGTGGTCGTGTTCACACCATAACAAAACGTTTTGCAATGTCCAGGTAGTCCCTCCCTGTTTCAGTCCGTTGTCTTCCATTTGGTGTCAAATGAACATGACCATGCCATCTATTTCTCTTTCTCCTCCAACTGTCTGTCTATCTATCCAGTTCAGTTCAGAAATCAGTCCCCATCCCCTCATCAGTCCTGTCTCCTGAGGTCTTTGTAACCAGCTCTGATAGGGGAACAAACAGACAGACTCTGCCAGGGTTTGTCAGTTAAAATATATTGCAACATACAGCAGTTTCCGATCTATATTCTATGACAGCATCGATCCAGATCCGGATTTGTCTGCCTCAGAAGTCATGTGGGTTAGAAGTTATAACACCATGGCTGGGTGGTTGAGATCCTCTCCTTACAGATAAGCCTATTCCCTCTTAAATCCTGGGCTGTGGCACTTTCTGCCTGATGTATTTCACTGTGTTCAACGTAGGCCGTTCCAGCTTTACATGCATACAGTATAACGCTGTGACATTGTCTTTTCATCCCGCTGCACTGCCTTGGCTGGTGTTATCTCCACTGCCTTGGCTGGTGTTATCTCCACTGCTAAGAAACCCAAGGTCAATGGAGCTCCTGGTCCAAAACGTAATGCACACGACGATAACATTATCTATGTGTGTGTATGTGTTTGTGCGTGTGTATGTGTGTGTGTGTGTGTGTGTGTGTTTGCGTTTGTGACTATATCGCGCATGTACATATATTGAATTAGAACAGGGTTATTGATGTGTCAAGGTTGGGAGCACATCTTCCTTCTTTGCGAGATACAAATGAACTTGTTATAGTGGATATGAGCTGTGCTGTATAATACATGTATGAATCACATTACATATTCAGAGGGGTTTAAACCATGTAAACCAGCCAGTCAGTCCAGTCATCCAGCCAGTCAGCCAGTCAGTCAGTCCAGTCATCCAGCCAGTCAGCCAGTCAGTCAGTCCAGTCATCCAACCAGTCAGTCCAGTCATCCAGCCAGTCAGCCAGTCAGTCAGTCCAGTCATCCAGCCAGTCAGCCAGTCAGCCAGTCAGACAGTCCAGTCATCCAGCCAGTCAGCCAGTCATCCAGCCAGCCAGTCAGTCATCCAGCCAGTCAGTCAGCCAGTCATCCAGCCAGTCAGTCCAGTCATCCAGCCAGTCAGTCCAGTCATCCAGCCAGTCAGCCAGTCATCCAGCCAGTCAGCCAGTCACCCAGCCAGTCAGTCAGCCAGTCAGTCCAGTCATCCAGCCAGTCACCCAGTCATCCAGCCAGTCAGCCAGTCAGCCAGTCAGTCCAGTCATCCAGCCAGTCAGCCAGTCAGTCAGCCAGTCAGCTGACATTAATTCATCCTACACATTATGTGACAGATGTATGGCATGGCTGGGGCTTGGCAGACAGTCACGGAACAGCAGTGTAAACACAGATGTACGCGTGTTCTCTTATATGAACCTGATATACTGCACACCAACGGCGCTCATGATATTATTGTATGTGTGGTTGGTAGATTGCTACAAATTACCCCAGTTGGAAAATGTGTTGCTCCAAGTGTAGTGTTGTGTATCGACTGTGAATTATTAATAAAAGAGTAGAGGTAAGATAATGAGCAAACAATATACTGTAAGTGCTTCGAGTTACTTGTTCTTGGCTACAATAGAGTCTCGTAGAGCATTTTTCTGGGGGGAGGGTGTTATTGTCTGTCAGTAGTCATGACATGTCACTGTTCCATTAGCGTTCTGCTGTTGTTGTTGTTGTTGTTGTTTTTGTTGTTGTTGTTATAGTTGTTGTTGATGTTGTTGGTGAAGCTGTTGGAGTCTAAAGGAGTATAAAGTCAGGAAGAGGACAAAGTCACATGAGAGAGAGGTCCACTGTTTCCCAGGAGTGGGTGGTGCCTGTTTGTGTGATCAACACTGAAGGTGTGGGGCTGAGGGAGAGTAGTGGGTGTGATAGAGGAGGAGTTAAGGTTGGCTAAGAGGGGCTGAGTGGACGGGGAGGCTGGCAATGTGCACACTAGTCTTGGGTTCAGCAGTATGTATATTACTGTAATATTACTGTTATGTTACTGTAATTCAGTGTAAAGGAGATAGATACAGACAGAGAGGTGCACATCAGTCCTGGGTTCATGGGTGGTAGGAGGCTCTCAGCAGTATGAATATTACAATAATATTACTGTGATATTTCTGTGTAATGTTACTGTAATCAGACAGACAGAGATGTGTCAGTCCAGTGCTGGTGAAGGGAACCAAGGTTGATACGTTGATATGTAAATACTGCGTGACTGAGTGAGAGAGGGACTGTCTACTCCTTTTCCTTCCCATCCTCACTCCTCTCTCCTCCTCCAATCCTCCCCCATCCTGCCCTTCTTCCTCCTTCCATCCCCCTCGCTCCTTCTCCTCCCCTTGTCTTCCTCCTCTTCTCACCCAGTCCTCCTCTCCTCCTCTTCACTACTCCACGTTACACTACAGTGTTCCTCTGTCTATAGGGCGGGGGCGGTAGCACAGTCCCGGGTTTCAGGGCAAACTCTGTCAAATACTCCTGGTTCTCAGCCACGGCAGGCCGGATACGTCCGTTCTGCCGGTAGAAGAAGCGTGTGCTGCAGTCCTGCAGGTACTCGGGGTTGTGGAGGGTGGCCTTGGGAGGGAGGCTATGCTGCCAGTACTCTTGATTGTCAAATGTCTTGTTCTTGTCTTGTCTGGTCTTCTTGTCCACCATGATGGTGCCTGTGAGACCAGAGTGGAGGGTGTACCCGGGGTGGGAGGGGTGACCTGGGTGCAGGATGTGCCCTGGGTGAGGGCCGGCTGCGCCGAGCCCCGGAGGTACAGCGTATCCCGGTTGTGCGGAGACAGTGTGGGCGTTGGCTGCCTGGACGCTGTGTGCGGGGTTCCCTGCCTGGGTGGTGCCTGATTGGCCAGCAGTGAGGCCAGTGGCGCCTGGTTGGCTGGCAAGAGTGGCGAGGGTAGGGTTGTGTCCCCCAGGGACTCCGTTATTTTTCAGGGTGTAGTCGGTGTAGTCTCCCTCTCCTGGCCCTGGTCCTCCGGGGTTGTGGAAGGTGTTGAGGTAGAGGGGCTCGTTGACGTATTCGTCATCCTCTCTGGGGCCGGAGCCGGCCAGCTGGGGGCCTATGGGGGCCACCTGACAAGTCAAAGTTTAGTTAAAGTGCATTCAAATAGCTAGATAGTCCATGTTATTACTATCTTAAAACAATTCCATGTGTTTGGGTAGTAGATATCATAAGACAACGGCTCCTAAGGAATAACATGAGGTCACTACACTCAACACATCAAAGTAGGAAAAAGGGGGCAATGTCAACAACAGTAAAAAAAACTGTATACAAATTTAGGAGCAAATAGTCAATAAATAATAGTCCAAATAGTCATAAAAAAGTCCACCTGGTAGGGGTTACAGCTGTCCAGGGTCAGGGTGTCTCCATTCCTCCGGCGCGTCACGAACGGGTTCTCCTCCACTGGGTTGAGATAGTCTGTTATAGAGGGGGAGAGACAGGGGAGAGAGAGAGAGGAAGGAGGGAAGAGAGAGAGAGGTTAGAGGCTTTCACAGGATGAACAGAAGGTTTGGTATATTTTGATCTTACTGATCACTAGTCTGCCCCTTAGCCTCTGACATGCCTCTATGAGTGTGAATGTGTGTGTGTACGATATTGTGTGTGTGTATTTACGTGTGTGTGTGTGTGTGCATTTACATGTGTGCATGTGTGAGTGTGCACGTGTGCACGTGTGTGTGATGGGTTGTGCTCTAGGCCTTCGTCTTTACAGCTCTCTGGATCAAAGGGTGTGGAAGAGGAGGAGATGATGAAACCTGGGTTCCAACATCAGAGGGTACTATGGTGTTGAATGCTGAGCTATAGTTAATGAACAGCATTCTTACATAGGTATTCCTCTTGTCCAGATGGGATAGGGCAGTGTGCAGAGTGATGGCGATTGCATCGTCTGTGGATCTATTGGGCCGGTAAGCAAATTGAAGTTTTGGCACTGTGTTATCCTCAAAGGTGTTTACCTTGTCCGGAAGCAAGACGTCGGTGTCGGCGACGTGGCTGGTTTTCCCTGTATAGTCCGTGATTGTCTGTAGACCCTGCCACATACATCTCATGTCTGAGCCGTTGAATTGCGACTCCACTTCATCTCTATACTGACGTTTTGCCTGTTTGATTGCCTTGCGGAGTGAATAACTACACAGTTTGTATTCTGCCATATTCCCAGTCACCTTGCCATGGTTAAGTTCGGTACTTCGCGCTTTCAGTTTCGCGCGAATGCTGCCATCTATCCATGGTTTCTGGTCAGGGTAGGTTTTAATAGTCACAGAGGGTACGACATCTCCTATACACTTCCTGATAAACTCAATCACTGTATCAGTGTATTCGTCTAAATTATTTTCGCAAGCGACCCGGAACATATCCCAGTCCGCGTGATCAAAACAATCCTGAAGTGTGGATTCCGATTGGTCAGACCAGCGTTGAATATTCCTTAGCATGGGTACTTCCTGTTTGAGTTTCTGCCTATAGGAAGGGAGGAGCAAAATGGAGTCGTGGTCAGATTTGCCGAAAGGAGGGCGGGGGAGGGCCCTGTAAGCATCCCGGAAGTTTGAATAGCAGTGGTCGAGTGTTTTAGCAGCGTGAGTACAACAGTCGACATGTTGGTAGAACTTCGGCAGCCTAGTCCTCAAATTTGCTTTGTTAAAAATCCCCAGCTACAATAAATGCAGCCTCAGGATATGTGGTTTCCAGTCTGCATAAAGTCCAGTGAAGTTCTTTGAGGGCCGTCGTGGTATCGGCTTGAGGGGGGATATAAACGGCCGTGGCTATAACCGAGGAAAATTATCTTTGGAGATAATACGGTCGGCATTTGATTGTGAGTTATTCTAGGTCGGGTGAACAAAAGGACTTGAGTTCCTGTATGTTACTACAATTACACCATGAGTCGTTAATCATGAAACACACACCTCCGCCCTTCTGCTTCCGGAGAGATATTTATTCCTGTCTGCGCGATGAACTGAGAACCCAGCTGGACCGATTTCGACAGAATATCCAGAGAGAGCCGTGTTTCCGTGAAACAAAGTATGTTACAGGCCCTGATGTCTCTCTGGAAAGAAACTCTTGCCCTGAGCTCGTCATCTTTGTTATCCAAAGACTCCTCTGCCAGCGATGTTTTGGGTCGGCCTCTTGAATCAGTTTAATTGCCCTGGGGAGCGCAAACAAAGGATCTGCTTCGGGGAAGTCGTATTCCTGGTCGTAATGCTGGTAGTTCTGGTGAGTTACTGCCACTCTGATATCCAATAGTTCTTCCCGGCTGTATGTAATGAAACAAAACATTTCCTGGGCTAATAATGTTTTAAAAAATACATTTAAAAAAAAAAAACACCGCAAAGTTTCTTAAGAGATAGTCGCGAGGCCGCAATTTCCGTCGCGCCATCTTACCTCTGGTAACAGATAAGGCTCATTTGAAAGGATCAGAAGAGGGGTTTGAATTTCTGAACTTTTTATCTTCTGTCTAACAGGAACAGTTAATGCAAAGTTCCCGAACAAGAAGCAAAACATTTTTTAAAATCCAACAAAAACCAAAGTGTGTTGCTATGGATAAAAGCTTTTTCAAAGCAGACAAGACATCATAAACAGTTAAGAAGTGCTTCCTGTTGTACATGACATTACCTGAGGAAAACACTGAATAGTGAAGACATGTTGTACCTGAGGAGGCCTTCTCCCTCATGGCGGTCATGTATCCATCCTGGTCTGTGTCTCCTCTAGCTCCTCTCTCCCCCAGCATGATGGTTGGGTCTGCACTGTAGCGCTGTCCACTGCTGTCCTCCCCTGGACCTGAGACTAAATAATAATAATACAATTCATTTCTATAGTGCTTTTCATTACAGAGGAATCACAACGCAACGATCTGCGTAGGCAAAATAACACAAACAAACAAACAAACAAACAAGACAAAATATAGACAAAATATATGAAGAATCAAGGAAGTTAAAATAACTGCTAAAAGAGGCATCACCTGGGGCTCCGCCTTGTCCTGGAGGTCCTGCGGGCCGGGGTGAGGCCTGCTTCCTCAGGGTGCCGTTACAGCGCTGGTCCTCGAAGCGTTGGTCCTCCTGGCCGCTGCCGCCCTGCCCCCCTGCAGACTGGTCCCCTGGGGGCCTGCACCCTGGGACTACAGACAGGGACAGCACCCGTGGGATGGTCCCCATGGTACCCAACATGTCCTCCATGCCGAAACTTGGGTCTTGGTAAAAAAACTGGTTCTGTAGAGAGAGACACAAGGAGAGTGAGAGAGGAGACAGAAGAGATAGGTTTTAATATACAGTATATAGTGCTGTGGTATAGGTAATGCCAGGGTCCTGGTACACAAACTGGTTCTGTAGAGAGAGACACATGGGGACAAATAGGTTTAATACATACTCCTGTGTGCTGGTGCTTGGTTCAAGGGAGTGTTCAATAGTTTTGGTTCAAGGGAGAAGAGAGTCCCCTCCGTGAACTTTCTCGTCCCTCTCTCCTCCCCCATCTTCCTCCAATCTCCCCACATCCTCTCCCCTCCTGTGGGTGAGTGGTCTCTACCCTCCTTCATCACCCTCCTTCCCCTCCTGATCTCTCAGTCTCAGCGGTGGTCTGCAGGTGTGCAGTCAGCACTCACTGAGGAGGGCAGACTCTCTCTCACGCTGTGTACCCTCCACCTTATAGCTACTTTATCACAATCACTTCTCCTCTCTGAACTCTCTTCCCCCATACAGAAAAATCATTTATTGGAATATATTTCAATAAAATAGAAATATATTTAAATATATTGGGAAAATGTATTTATCAAATATCTAAATAAATAAAATATATGTAGATATATTTGTAAAATATATGTGTAAAATATATACCCACACCTCGCAAGTCACAACTTTCTCTACCCCAAAGATAATGTTGAATCTCTATTGACCTCTGTACCTTAGCATTAGGTTCCCAAAGTGGTGTTTTGCGTGGAAAAGTTGGATCATATTTGAGTTGTAGTTGAAAATACATTCTGCTGCTACTGAGGTATAGCCTACCTGCCACTTATGAAGCATAGTAAAAATAAATGAGGTGATTATTTCGAAAAGACACTTCAACATAGAACATATACTGTATGTAAATATATTTTAAAATATATTTTACCGAGCTATCAATCACAATTTGTAGCTCAGCTGGTTGAGCACGGCGCTTGTAACGCCAAGGTAGTGGGTTCGATCCCCGGAACCACACATACACAAAAAAAAATGTATGCACGCATGACTGTAAGTCGCTTTGGATAAAAGCGTCTGCTAAATGGCATATTATTATTATTAATTTGAAATGTTCCTGAGCCTCAGCCCCAGCCCCAGCCAGGCCTCCAACTGACAGAGCAGCCCTTACAATTTTGAGTTTTCTTCAGAAGAAAGAAAAGAGCAGCTGTCACCACCAAAAAGCTTTCTCGTGGATAATGGCATTTTCTTTGATTATACATTCGTAACATTGATTTAAAATATGTTTTTAACCTGGTGGGTGACAGAGTAAGATAATTTATTCAGCTGCAAGCAAGAGATTTAATCAAGATTGTTAACATAGCTAGCTAGCTACCTAGCTAGCTAGCTCCTTCTTTAGCTTGCCACCAATGTGCAGTGTGACTGACCAAGGTAAGAATTGTTTTGAAAATTAAAGTGGAAAACAGTAACGTAGATCGGTGGCAGCTAGAAAGCCGGTGACGACGACCACCGATAGCCGCCTGCACAAGGAGAGGCACCAACTTCAGCGGATGTCGTGACAAATGGACCAAGTTTTTTTAGCAAAAAATTTAGATTATTGAAAGCACTCATGAGTCTTTCATTCAAACTTTTCAAAGTATACCACAGCATGCTATTATGATTTAGTGCTGAACTTTGTCGTTTTATGCATCAAATTTTTGTAAGGTCAAAAGCGACATTTTCAATTCATTAAAATACATGTCTACATATATCAACATTTTATGAAATATATTTTGGAATATATTTTACTAGCTACCACAGCATGCTGTCAAAATGTATTTCCACACCATATATTTAAATATAAACATATACAGTGAAGGAAAAAAGTATTTGATCCCCTGCTGATTTTGTACGTTTGCCCACTGACAAAGAAATGATCAGTCTATAAATTTTAATGGTAGGTTTATTTGAACAATGAGAGACAGAATAACAACAAAAGAATCCAGAAAAACGCATGTCAAAAATGTTATGAATTGATTTGCATTTTAATGAGTGAAATAAGTATTTGACTCCCTCTCAATCAGAAAGATTTCTGGCTCCCAGGTGTCTTTCATACAGGGAACGAGCTGAGATTAGGAGCACACTCTTAAAGGGAGTGCTCCTAATCTCAGTTTGTTACCTGTATAAAAGACACCTGTCCACAGAAGCAATCAATCAATCAGATTCCAAACTCTCCACCATGGCCAATACCAAAGAGCTCTCCAAGGATGTCAGGGACAAGATTGTAGACCTACACAAGGCTGGAATGGGCTACAAGACCATCGCCAAGCAGCTTGGTGAGAAGGTGACAACAGTTGGTGCGATTATTCGCAAATGGAAGAAACACAAAAGAACTGTCAATCTCCCTCGGCCTGGGGCTCCATGCAAGATCTCACCTCGTGGAGTTGCAATGATCATGAGAATGGTGAGGAATCAGCTCAGAACTGCGCGGGAGAATATTGTCAATGATCTCAAGGCAGCTGGGACCATAGTCACCAAGAAAACAATTGGTAAAACACTACGCCGTGAAGGACTGAAATCCTGCAGCGCCCGCAAGGTCCCCCTGCTCAAGAAAGCACATATACATGCCCGTCTGAAGTTTGCCAATGAACATCTGAATGATTCAGAGGAGAACTGGGTGAAAGTGTTGTGGTCAGATGAGACCAAAATCGAGCTCTTTGGCATCAACTCAACTCGCCGTGTTTGGAGGAGGAGGAATGCTGCCTATGACCCCAAGAACACCATCCCCACCGTCAAACATGGAGGTGGAAATAATAACATTATGCTTTGGGGGTGTTTTTCTGCTAAGGGGACAGGACAACTTCACCGCATCAAAGGGACGATGGACGGGGCCATGTACCGTCAAATCTTGGGTGAGAACCTCCTTCCCTCAGCCAGGGCATTGAAAATGGGTTCGTGGATGGGTATTCCAGCATGACAATGACCCAAAACACACGGCCAGGGCAACTAAGGAGTGGCACCGTAAGAAGGTCCTGGAGTGGCCTAGCCAGTCTCCAGACCTGAACCCAATAGAAATTCTTTGGAGGGAGCTGAAAGTCCGTATTGACCAGCGACAGCCCCGAAACCTGAAGGATCTGGAGAAGGTCTGTATGGAGGAGTGGGCCAAAATCCCTGCTGCAGTGTGTGCAAACCTGGTCAAGACCTACAGGAAATGTATGATCTCTGTAATTGCAAACAAATGTTTCTGTACCAAATATTAAGTTCTGCTTTTCTGATGTATCAAATACTTATGTCATGCAATAAAATGCAAATTAATTACTTAAAAATCATACAATGTGATTTTCTGGATTTTTGTTTTAAATTTCGTCTCTCACAGTTGAAGTGTACCTATGAAAAAAATTACAGACCTCTACATGCTTTGTAAGTAGGAAAACCTGCAAAATCGGCAGTGTATCAAATACTTGTTCTCCCCACTGTATATGTACATATAAGCCTAAAAATATATATACAGTGCATTCGGAAAGTATTCAGACCCCTTGACTTTTCCACATTTTGTTACGTTACAGCCTTATTCTAAAATTGATTCAATTGTTTTTTCCCCCCTCATCAATGTACACACAATACCCCATATATACAAAGCAAAAAAAGGTTTTTTGAAATTTTAGCAAATTTATTAAAAATAGAAAACTGAAATATGACATTTACATAAGTATTCAGACCCTTTACTCAGTACCTTGTTGAAGCACCTTTGGCAGCGATTACAGCCTCGAGTCTTCTTAGGTATGTCGTTACAAGCTTGGCACACCCATGGGGCGGTGCACAATTGGCCCAGAGTCGTCCAGGGTAGGGGAGGGAATGGCCGGCAGGGATGTAGCTCAGTTGGTAGATAATGGTGGTTGCAACGTTAGGGTTGAGGGTTCGATTCCCAGAGGGGGCCAGTATTTAGCGTCTGCTAAATGACTAAAATGTTACTGTATTTGGGGAGTTTCTCCCATTCTTCTCTGCAGATCCTCTCAAGCTCTGTCAGGTTGGATGTGGAGCGTCGCTGCACAGCTATTTTCAGGTCTCTCCAGAGACGTTCGATCGGGTTGAAGTCCGGGCTCTGGCTGGGCCACTCAAGGACATTCAGAGACTTCAAATCAAATAAATCTAATCAAATTTTATTGGCCACATGCGCCAAATACAACAGGTGCAGACATTACAGTGAAATGCTTACTTACAGTCCTTAACCAACAGTGCATTTATTTTTAATAAAAAAAGTAAAATAAAACAACAACAAAAAAGTGTTGAGAAAAAAAGAGCAGAAGTAAAATAAAATAACAGTAGGGAGGCTATATATACAGGGGGGTACCGGTGCAGAGTCAATGTGCAGGGGCACCGGCTAGTTGAGGTAGTTCAAGTAATATGTACATGTGGGTAGAGTTAAAGTGACTATGCATAAATAATTAACAGAGTAGCAGCAGCGTAAAAAGATGGGGGGTGGGGGTGGGGGGGGGTGGGGGTGGGGAGGGCAGTGCAAATAGTCTGGGTAGCCATGATTAGCTGTTCAGGAGTCTTATGGCTTGGGGGTAGAAGCTGTTGAGAAGTCTTTTGGACCTAGACTTGGCACTCCGGTACCGCTTGCCGTGCAGTAGCAGAGAGAACAGTCTATGACTAGGGTGGCTGGAGTCTTTGACAATTTTGAGGGCCTTCCTCTGACACCACCTGGTATAGAGGTCCTGGATGGCAGGAAGCTTGGCCCCAGTGATGTACTGGGCCGTACGCACTACCCTCTGTAGTGCCTTGCGGTCGGAGGCCAAGCATTTTGCCATACCTGGCGGTGATGCAACCAGTCAGATGCTCTCGATGTGCAGCTGTATAATGTTTTTGAGGATCTGACGACCCATGCCAAATCTTTTCAGTCTCCTGAGGGGGAATAGGCTTTGTCGTGCCCTCTCCCTATAGGCTGTCTCATCGTTGTCGGTGATCAGGCCTACCACTGTTGTGTCGTTGGCAAACTTAATGATGGTGTTGGAGTTGTGCCTGGC